AAAAAGATATTTCTTAACAAATGTATCATTTTTAAGCCTTTTAAACATTATGGAATCGATATAAATATGCTTATATATTTTTATTCTTTTCTACGATATCTTACAAAATAAAGTATACGCAATGCGTGTCTCCTGTGTGCGCGTGGTAAAATACGAAATCTTTCTTATCGACAGGTAGGGTAACAAATACAGCGCACTCTAGCAATGATAAGGTAGAAAACGATATTACCTTCAGACAAAATTACTCTTACCGACATTATAAATAGTATAGCGCACTCTGGCGATGGTAAGGTAGGAAATGATAGTATCATCGAAATAAACTAAAGAAATGTATTCGAGAATTAAAAGAATAATTAAAGAGTTTAAAATTTACAAATTTTTAAATTAAATCTAACGAGAAATCTATATGAAATAACTATTAATATTAAAGAAAATTATTGAGAACGTTTTTATGAATAAACTTTTGAAAATACTCAATAACAAAATAATATTATATGATAGAAAGTAATATTACTAGCATATAACACAATATCAAATAATATAAAAATGACATAAAATCAATATTTTTACTTGTTTTCATACGCAAGCAAAATGACTGCAATTTTTGTCACTTGGAACAGATGTTTTTTTCATTAAAATAAAATCCCAAGAGTCACTCAGGATTTAAAGTGACGACGAGCAGCGGTGACGATGCACATGTGATGATGTCACACCTATAGAAATACTAAATTGTTTTGATTGTTACACATTGTACGCTGTTACTTTCATCACCGATGTATGTGACAGTTAGATATAAAATAAACAAAAGATGCAAAATTTAACAAAAATTCCGAATCGATATTATTTAATACCACGCAAAATAATAAACTTCTCCTCGAGATATGACATTCTATGTGAACATGGAATTAATAATATTTTTAACCTTAAATGTATTCATGCGAATGGGAATATTATTAAATTGAGAAGATCTGTTTTAAAACAATATCGTGTAAGTATCGCTATGGTGTTTTCTATTAGACAATAAAATATTATAATAATGAAATGTTACTTTTACTTTTAGGTACTAAATAAAATAAATACAAAATGTCGCATCCCAGAATCATCATTTTTAAATAATCAATGTAATTTGTTAAGATTTCAATGCTCTAGAAATTTTAGTACAAGTTCTAAGCGTAATGAAAAAAAAGATGGTGATGATAATAAATCATCAAAAAATAATGACTCAGATCCTGTAAAGCATATAGTAGTAACTTTACTAAAAGTTGGCCTGATGGTAGGATTTGTCATTTTTATGGGAAAATATACACTAATTCCATCGCCAGACGTAAGCATTCAAATATTACCTACTAAAAATCTACTAAAAACGTGTAATTTATAGAAAATATATATCTTATTTTCATATAAATTTAAATAGACCATAAATAATACTTCCTGGCACGAATTTGTACATGAAATGTTAGAGAAAGGAGAAGTGGAAGAGCTTGTAGTGGATCCGACAAATAAACTCGTAAGAATACAACTTTACCCAGGAGCAATTATTAAAGGACAAAGAGTACCCTTCCGTATATATACTATGTATATTCCAGAGATTGAACGAATAGAAGAAAAATTAAGGAAAGAAGAACAAAAGCTGGGTATAAAGAAAGGTAAGATATATAAATTAATTATTCATTTATATATCAATTTCAATGTTGTTAACATACTTGATACTGTAATTTATTGTGAACTAATATTAATTTGATATATTCTTTTAAGAAAATGAAATATCAGTGATTTATAATAGAAATTCCGAGCCGATGTTACAATTATTGAGACTCCTTAGTATTGTTCTCCTTGCGTATACGCTTTTTAGTAGAGCGTCAGTTTCTCTCAACATTAAACCATTTTTAAGTAAATTGAAAAGTGCAAAATTTACATTAGTCGAACCATCAATGAAACATGGTAAAGGTGTACGCTTTGAGGATGTTGCGGGACTAAAAGAAGCTAAAATAGAAGTTATGGAATTTGTAGATTATTTAAAACAACCTCAACGATATCAAGTTCTTGGAGCTAAAGTACCTAAAGGTAAATATTTATATATAATATAATAATGTAATGTGTGTGTTTGCACACATGATTGAGATTATTTTTTTCCAGGTGCTTTATTATTAGGACCACCAGGCTGTGGTAAAACATTATTAGCAAAAGCAGTTGCAACAGAGGCAAATGTACCATTTTTATCTATGAATGGATCTGAATTTATTGAAGTACTTGGTGGATTAGGTGCTGCACGTGTCAGAGATTTATTTAAAGAAGGGAAAAAAAGGTATAACTTATACAACATTTCATATACAATTTTGTATATGCAAACAAGTGAATACTACACAAAAAGGAACATTATCATTCATTCTGAAAGATTGTTAAACTATACAAGTTTTATATTATATAATATTTACCCATATTTTCATGATAAAATAATATTCTTTAATATTTTTACAGAGCACCCAGTATTATATACATTGATGAAATTGATGCAATTGGTAAACAGCGTTCAGAATCTTCGGTTAATTTTACTGGCGATGAATCCGAACGTACTCTGAATCAGCTTTTAGTAGAAATGGATGGAATGATACCAACAGAGAATGTCATTGTTCTAGCATCCACCAATAGGGCTGAAATTCTAGACAAAGCGTTACTTAGACCTGGTAGATTTGATAGGCATATTTTAATAGATTTACCTACAATGGCAGAAAGAAAACAAATTTTTGAATATCATTTAAAAAAACTTGTTGTGCAACTAGATACGGATAAATATTCTCAGTATTTATCATTTCTGACACCTGGGTTTACCGGTATGTAATCTATTCTTACATATTTAACGGACCATTAATGGTTAATGTATAGCGATATATTCTTTTGTAATCATTTACCTACTAAATGTACGCATAATAAACTTACAGGTGCTGATATTGCAAATGTATGTAATGAAGCTGCATTGTATGCTGCCAGAAACAAAAAAAAAATTGTCGAAAGTTCAGATCTTATGTACGCAATAGATAAGACGATAGGTGGTATAGAGAAAAAAAGTAATACAATAGCACCATCCATGAAACGTGTTGTTGCTTATCATGAAGCTGGGCATGCGTTAATTGGATGGCTATTAAAATATACTAGTGCTTTGCTTAAAGTATCTATTGTACCTAGAACTAATCATAAGTTAGGCTTTGCACAATACACCGAAAGTGAATACAAACTTAAAAGTAAAGAAGAACTCTATGAAACAATGTGCATGATATTAGGTGGTCGTGCAGCAGAAAATGTAATTTTTAATCAAATAACAACTGGAGCCCAAGATGATTTAGAAAAAGTGACAAAACTTGCGTATCTTCAAGTACAAAAGTTTGGGATGTGTCCTGCTTTGGGACTACTGTCTTTTGACGAAAATTATACTAGTCAAGTATATATTTATACATATATTCCAAAATAATTGATTTATTTATCTAAACTCTATATTTCTATAGTATATTCTTATTGTTTATATAGGAAACTAAGAAACCATACAGTAAACAATTAGGAAATCTAATGGATGCTGAAGCACGAAAATTAATAACAAAAGCATATGAAGGAGCACAAAAAATATTAACTGATAATAGAGACAAATTAGAAAAAGTATGATTCTCATAAATCACTTCTTATTAATGTAAATTATGACATGTAATAACAAAATTTATTTTATAATTGTTTAGATAGCTCAAGCTTTGTTAGAAAAGGAAACATTAACTTATGATGACATAGAAAAGTTAATTGGTCCACCACCATTTGGTAAAAAAGGGCTTATTGATATAGCCGAATTAATCAAATCTAATCCAAACATCGAATCACATACTGTAAATCCAGTAACAACATGAATTAAACATTAATTAAGCATTAAACGTTAGTAATATTCATATATGTTTAGTAAATTATAATAAAATTGATAAATGATTAATGCTGTTTTTCATTATGTCATAATCTAAGGAACTATTTAACATTTGTACAAGTATCTTTTAGTTTTCATTATAAAGTAAAAGGAATAATTATATATTTCTATAAATGATTACATTTTTCTAATTATTATCAGTTTGTGATTCATATTCACATACATAAATTTGAACCTACATCTCGTACAATTTTAAAAACTTAAAAAATGATTACATATAATAAAACAATGTATTATAGGGTATAATCATTCTGTTAATAATACATTATAAATTTGTCATCGCAGTTTTATCTGTTTTCAATCCATAAAAAATATAAATACACGTTGAATTTGTACAATACATGTACATGCACTATATATTATTTGAGTAATTAAAATATACCTCATATAAAATTAAAATCACATGATCTTGTACTTTTAATAAATTTACTTTATCTAATAACGAATTAGAATAATGTATTTATTAACAAACAAAAACCGTGCAAATGCGTGTACAGAATTACTGATTTTTTAATGTTTTCTATTCAATCATTATGATGTTAAATTAAATAAAACATTTCTTTTCCCCATGTCATATTCAAGACCCCAGTAATATGATCTATTGTTAAGATATTTATTTCACCAATCGTTAATTTCTAAATTGTAAATAATAATAGAGTAATTAACGATTAGTATGAAATAGCGATATATATATATATATATATTAAATTTATATTTATATATATTTAATGAGAGAAACCCCTTCACATAAATACACACGCCCCCACGCATATATAGATTTTGTTTTATGATTAAAATTTTGGTATATGGCAATACCATGCATACTTAACTATATACATAGTATCTTCGTTAAAATTAACCTAAAAAATATTTGTTGTATCAATTAGTAATTTATATCCATAACATATAGTCCATTTTATTATTTTTCTGTTGTCGACTGTAATTAATATCTACGAATGAAAGTTAATTGTAAGAAAAAACATTTCGTGGAAAAANAAAAAGAATATTATTATTTAAATATAAATTTATATATAATCTATTAAATATTTCATATTTTCAATGTTTACACAATTGCTGTAAATAATTAACCATCAATGATAAAACTAGGGTCTTTAAAGACGAAGGTATAATTATACATTTCGAATGAAAATAAATAGATTCAATGAAAATATGTTATTCATATTAACCCGTTTGCATCTCTGCTAAATGTAATAATTCGCAAACGTTGACCGTTACTAATAATATCCGGTAATAACCGGATACAATCTACACGCAGTTTGCAAGCGATACGTACGAAAATTTATAGCTGTTAATGCATTGTCAGCAAATGTTATCCCTTGAAAACTTAATTCTATTATATTAATTAAAGCAATAACATCCGTATATCCCATTTATGAATTAGTCCATTCGCTGTAAGGAAAATAAAACATGCTTTGTCCTAACTAAAGTTTTTCTTCAAATAAAACAACGAAATTTTTAAAAATAAAGATATAGTTTTTTAGCGGCATTTACAATGATTTGAAGAAAAATAAAACCTATGAGATACCTCGTAATTGGCAGTGAATGGACTAGTAATCTATTTAGAGCTCAGAAGCAAATGGGACAAAGTATTTTATAAATGCGAGGAAGAACGGTAACGATATACTATGATAGTATTTTTTGTCTTTGTTCATATATAAACAATATATTCGAATCAGGGTACCAGTGACAGTAAAGCGTCTATACAATTGGCGCTGTAAATACTAGGAACAATTACTTATCGTTGGCTCGAAGTTATTAACCGATAAGGACAATTTTGATTTGTGCTTCATATTAGTCCTCAAGTATATCTTCTTCGAGAGTCTATCACATTTAAACATATACGTATGTTACTTATTATTCCTTTATAATCAAGTCTTTAAAAGTGGAGTTAAGTTTTCGCTCTGACTGTGTTCCATTCCAATAGACATTTCCACAATGTTCACAGATATAAAATAATTGTATACTCCTCGGTATTTGGAATGGAAATTTATTAATTTGTACTCGAATATTATATCTGGTTGTACACGTTTCCATATTTATAGTATTTGTACTAAGAATCCATCTACGCTCACGATTTTGTTTACTATATTTGTCATTACCACTAACTTTATCGGTCTTGTTAATATCATGTACTTGCTTTTTATTTGCAGGCAAAAATTGATCAAAGTTGACACAATGATTTTCTTGCTTAATTATTTTCATATAACTGAAAATATCAAAATAATTCTTTTATGATCGAAATTCAATCATTATTAGAATGCATTTTAGAATATTTAGAAAAACCTTAAATTTATTAATAAACAATGATAAACGTTTACTTTTATTAACTTTTATACAAACCTTTCAACAAGTTTTTGAAACAAGGCTTTCGGAACTTCAACGAATTCATCATAATTGCAAATTTGACATCGACTGAATATATCCCTTTGTGTAACAATCACAGAAAAATGGTTTAACACTTCACGCAATTGCTCATTAGGTTTAGTTGAAATAACTTTATAACAATGCGCTAATGGTAAATATTGCTTGCGCTACAAAATATTAATAATTAAACTTTAAATATTATAAACTGGAAAAAATAGTTCAATCATTTACATAAGATCTTACCCTTTGTGTTAGTAAAATTCTATTTTCTTTCGCTGCTAATGTAGCAGTTTGTTTACCCCCTTTATCAAATACATTATATAAACAATCACATCCACACATACGTAATTTTTTTACTAAACCACCCAACATTGAATCACATGCAACGCGCCAGTTATGTGCTGCTATAGGATTTTGTGGATTTACGATAGATTGATTTGGTGGATATACCAGAGATTGATCTTGTGAATATACTATTAAAGGTAGTTTTCGTTTACTTTTTTGCAGATTGAAATTTCTACGTATTGGAACATAATGATGCGTTTGTTGAACTTTCTTAGATTGTTTAGAATTACCATCATTTTGACAATTTTCTTTTTTGTTAGGGAGAGGAGCTGATTCCAGTTTTTGTTTTAACTATAAACAATACAAACATATAATTCTATTATATTATTAATACTTAAAAAATAATAAATAAGTAAATATTTTTGCTTTTATATGCATACTTTATTTAAACATTTTTTAGGAGATTTTTTGGAATTTGTATTTGGAATGTGCTGTATCTCTGTACAAATATCATGAAATGGTATGTCTTCTATTATACATTTTTCGGCCAAAGTTTCATATATTTCCAAGAGACAATATGCATCCAATGCTGTCATTAAATAAATTTTATATTATTATATAATTTAACAGGTATTGTGTGATTTAAAAAATCAATATAAAAAGATGTGTGTGTGTGTGTGTGTGTGTAGAAGAAGAATTAGTAGAATTACTAACCAGCATATATTATTTGACTTTCCCTTAGTGGCCGTTGCTCCCAGTTAGAAAATTGATCTGATTTATTCAACTTTGCTCCAAGACATACTTCTACTAACTTGCTTAAACTTTCACTCGTAAACTTTTCATCACCTTTATAAGGAAATTCGAACTTGTATTTATTTACAAGCTTTCTCCACAAAAATAATATATCTAGATAACCTTGTCCATTAACTTTACTTGAAATAGTTGGCAGACAATCGCGTATCATTGATATATCGTTAGCTATTCCAAAACCTACAATAAAAATACATATTATATTGGACAGTTTATAGAAGGTATCCTATAAACAATGGTACAAACGAGTAGGAGGTAATTCTACGTGAAAAATTAAGTCTAAAATATAGAGTACAATTTTTTGTGTACTCTAATAATAAAATAAGAATTAATATTCTTACCAAGTTTTAAGATATGTTTATTTTCGAATAACAATAAATTGAATTCTGTCCAAAGTTGATCAAGGTTGTTTCCTATACTAATAACATCTATTATATATGCATTTTTCTCTGTTGCTATTTGTATTAGAGCCAATTGAGTCTTTTTAATACCTAAGAAAATATTTTTTTAAAAACTAGCTTAGAATTTCAATGTTTGTTTATGTCTAAAAACAGAAAGTGCATTTATATACCAAAAGTTGGTTTCCACTCAGAATCAATACCAACAATATTAATTCCTCTTAAACCATTATTAAGAAATTCTTGAAACTTTCTTGGATTATCTATAAGTTTAATTGCGTCTCTAGGTAATTTTAAAGTATGATAAACTGCTGAACTGTCTTCGCAATCTACCTCTTTGCTAGTAGAAGCACCCTCATTTATATCTACAAATGAAAAAGACGTGAGACGTAATAGATGAAGAAGTGTAATCTTAATTAATTATATAATAATATTAGGTTGACTAATAAGTAATGTCGTCTGGAAATCATACTAAGTTTATGCAAATGGTTCGCAATGCTAGACTTTGATATTCCTAATATTCCCGCATTCTGTCATGTGATATAATGTGGAATATTATAAATTAAAGTAAAGATTTGATAGTTATCAATCTCGATAGGTCTGCTATAACGTTTATTATTGGTAAAACTAAAATCTCTAGACATCAGAAATCTTCTTTGCTATTTACATTGTAGTTTTTCCTTTACGAAAATAAAAAAAGCATAATCGCATGAAAATACACCAAGTTCATCAAACATCTCATCTTCAAATTCAAATAAATATTACAAAATTTGACTAAAAACAATGAACTCTATTTTAAATCACACATTGGAATCTTAGCTTTCAGACTATACAATATCATTTATTGGCCAACCCAATATTATAATTCTAAATACTTTACCATCAGAATGGTTATTTGCGTGTAAACAAATATCCCATGACCATTTCACTTTAGGAATATTAAATGTTTTAGCCCAGTATAAGCTTTCTTTAATTTCACCTAACCAGGATAATAATTTGACACATTCTAATTGCAACTCTTCGTCATTTCCTACTGCTTCCTTTATCATTTCTCTCCAACTTTCAGTATCTAAATATTAACCAAATATATAACATATACATATACGTATGTTGTAACGAATTTCAGAAAATTATATTTACGATTTAATAAAATAAAAAATGAAAAAAATAAACTTACTTAAGCTTTTATCATCGAACCGTTTATGAATGAGAAATTGTAATGCACCTTTATTCCGTCTTCGATTTAAGTTTGGACACAATTCTGGTGAAATATTATAAAGCTTAACAAAACGCGCTATTAATTTTGTTAGTGGTCGCATTTGTATTGTTTCAATTTTTACATCAGGTATATCATTTTCTCTGCAATTAATTATATATTGAATACCAAATCATATATAAGTATATGTACACTAATTAATAATATTTCTACTAATCCTATCATATAAAAAAATATGATTATGTTCTACAAATATTCATAAGTTTTTAAAATGTAATATATGTCCAATAACATATTTAATAGCTTATACTAAAGAACTTGAAAATCAACGACTGTGAGCTACATGCAATTCTCAATTCATATAAATATTGTTTTAGAACACAATATTGTTACTAAGATTACAAATTGACAACTATGTTAATCTAAGCAACCAAAATTTGTGTTTACTAAAGATATAAAAATTTAAGACATGCATCCATATTTTTCGCTATGTGAAAAAGAATGAAAGAAGCCCTCTCTGCTGACATAAAATTGATAGATATTACTCTATATAAAAATGATATAAACTTACTGAATATATTGATCTAATTTATTATCCATATTTTTTCCTAGGGCAACTAAATTATCCAAAAACGATATCAATATTTTCTGTATATTTGGATATTCAAATAAAAAATCTTCTACAATTGCTAACTTATTTTGTAAAATAAGAGGCAGTAATAGTACTTCCGGATCAGCATAACATGATTGTAACTTTAACATAGTTATATATTGTGCCGCTTCTTTATACTTTTTCCTATCGATCATACTCTAAAATGATGGATGATATATTTTATTTATAAATCATTAAGTAAAAACCTAGAAATTTTATTTGTAAATCATTTGCATACCTGAATCATTTGTAAAAACAATTCTTTATGTTCAATAAATTCATATATATTTGAGACCATTTTAACAAGTTGCATATTTTTATGAAGATTGAGTAATTTAAAAGCTGCTATCTTCAGATCAGGAACCAAACATTCTTTATAGTTATCCTTTTGAAGTATTAACCAATTTGAAAATTCTTCTATAACTACGATTTAATAGATGCATCAACCTTCTTTTAAAATAAAGATACCAGAAGTAATATATTTTTAAATATATACTTCATTCTTCTTATTAGTAAGATATACATATATATAAATATATATATAAATTAAAAAAAAAATTAAACTTCATTATATATAATATTAACCATTTGAAAAATTGTAATTATACTAAATGCACAAACCTGTAAAGGAAAGAGTCGATCCTGCTTTTGCTTGTTTAAAATCTGGTATATTTACTAGAATCCTCAATGTACTTAAATAAGGATTTGGAGCGGTATCAAAATAATCAAATAATGTTTTGTTAACTCCTTCACATTTTTTCCCTAAAAATGTCCATTTGTCAATGAAAAACAAAATTGATAATAAACATTAGAATTAATTATACATACATAATTTCCACATATGACACAAAGTTTTCAGCCAGATTTGTGTGGCTTCGTCTATAGTTTTGAAGAATAAATCTTCGTCGGAATTTTCTTGACAAGGTACCATGTGAAGGCTTGATCCATTTTTGATGCTTACCATCGCTTGCGCCATGATTCTTGTTCTCCAATATTGCTTCGTGACATGCGTTACGAATTTTTATTTTATGTTTTCAATCTTAATTATCAAGATTTTTTATTAATAGAATACAACTATTTTATTTGAATCCGTTACTTCTGATTGCCACTATTTGAAAAAAGAGGCTTTATCGTGACCTTAATTTATCTTTTCCTTGTTTAATATGTTCAAAAATTGCATAAATCATAAGCTGTTACAGACAGCTTCTTCGCGACTATTGGTAACGTATACTAGGGACTTTGGCCTTAGGAAAACGCAACGTAAAGAAAGTTAGGCTATGTTATTTTGTGTGTGTGTGTGTGTGTTTTTACAAAGAATACAATATTTTTCTTACTAAAAACTTTTCACTCACAATCAATCACATCAAATGTCTGCTTATTATCATCCGTTATTTTAGAATAACTGTCAGTTACACAAACTATATTACTACTTGATTATTACTTTATTCACTTGATCCGTAAATCTTCAATGATTTTAAAAATCTATACTATATTTTCGGACAGAGGAAATTATTTACTTTTACCTCTTTTAAAAAATTGCCGCGCGGTTTGTCACAATAGAAAACCGGAAGTAGTTGCTACAGCTGCGTCCTCTTCTGCTCTTCTCGATGACTTTTAACTCCTTAGGGAAGATTCCAGAATAATGTTCATTGTTTAACAAGCAATAAAATGAATGTCGAAGATCGTCAGAAAATTGATTGGTACTGTGATATCGCAGTACGTAAAATCAATATAATTAATTTGTGGCCTAAGTTAGTAGAAAATAAGATTTTTAACATCGACGATGTCAACATATCCACATGGAAAGTAAGCATTGATCAATTTCTTAAATAAAATTCTGATCAATAAGTTTATATTTTACTTAATTAGATTTTTTTTAACTATTAAACAAAATAACAATTAAAGACATGCCATTAAAAGTAAACTTGTTGTTTATTAATTATTCACAGAAAAATTTTGACAAAGAAGAAACTGTTCAAAATATTTGGTTGACAATTAAAACAAGAGGGCCTTCTGCATTCCAAGATCTACTTCTGAGTTTAAGACAAAGTAATCATGAAGAACTGGCAGATCTGTTAAATAATCATACAGAAAATAGTTTAATCAATAATAGCTCAGAATTAAATAACGACAATTATTATCGGAACATAAAAGATGCTGTGGTGCCTTTACAAATAAAAGTGAAAAAAGGTGATAAATTTTCAAGTAGCCCACATGAAGTGATTAAATGCTATCAAATGAGAAGTAAACCTCGTGGATTGGTTTTAATTATTACAAATATTGATTATAAATCTGATATACTTAAATCTAGAAAATCAGCAATACACGATCAAACAAATCTTAAAAAATTGTTCGAAGAAATGGGATTTTTTGTTGAAACGCATTGTGATTTGACAGGACAGGTGTAGTAATAAATAATAATTTATATGAAGTTATGCATTGTTCTAATTAAATATAATCTAATTTAAAACCTTTTTTAGGAAATTAAAGATTGCGTCACATCATTTTCAAAACGTAAAGAATTACTAAATGTTGATTCGTGCTTTATAATTGTTAGTAGTCATGGCAATGGTCCTGGTAGAAAAGGCGAAGAAGATTGTACAGAAATAGAAGGTGTAGATAATTACACGGATCAAATTCCACATGGGTATACAAAAGTTTTTTGTTCAGACGTTATAAATTGTTTCACATCCGAAGCTTGTCCTTACTTAGCAGGGAAACCAAAAATATTTATTTTTCAATTATGTCGGTATGTATGTTTAATAAAAAGGGTATTTTATTTAGAAGGATATGAAAATAACAATAATTTTTTATTGTTCATTTTTTTTTTTTTTTTAAATTATGTTACTGAAGGGATTATTTTGTAGAGGTAACAAAATACAAACCATAACAACAAGCAAGATAATGCCTAAACGAGTAACTGATTCAACTGAAGATTATATACCTGGAAACAATTCTAACTTCATCTTTAAAAAGAAAGTAATTAGGAATTATTCTGATATGTTAATTGCATATGCTACACTACCAGGACATGTTGCCTTTCGTAATAATATAACTGGTAGTTGGTTTATATTAATATTTTGTGAAGTATTTATGAATCACGCTTGCGAACTTCATATGTGTGACTTATTCACAATAGTAAGTATAACTCTTCAGTAAATCATTTTCGGACATAAGTGTATATTATCATTCAAATATAAATAAATAACTTGAAATTTATTATGTTAATTTATAGGTAGATTCACGACTGAGAAAAGTGACATTAACTGAAGATTATTGTCAAACAATATCGCTTGAATGCAAAGGTTTTCATAAATATTGTTATATCAATCCTGGAGTTTTTGAACAGAAAGAAGAAAAATAACAAAAGTACATAGTATAATATACCAGGATCCAGTATATACCAATTTTACCATTGCTGTTAATGAAGACGGTGACCAAGTTTTACAACCAGTAAAGTTTAAAATATCTTTCTTCTACACTATACATTGATTTTAATTAAAAGCAACTCTTACAATTAATGTGGCTTTTGATTTTGTTCTTCATAGATCGGCGACATGTATGCTGTCATAAGAGATTAAATTATCTGGTAACAAGATGCAGCACCTCTATGCTATGAACTTATTTTATTGAAATATTGCAATATGTACTTCAATGAATGAATAAGGAAAAGAGGTATCATCGAGTAATCTGCAAAACACCTTATGATTTCTCGATGCCAGGGAATAATAGAAAACAATATTTTTTCTATGAAACAGCAAAATTTGGAAGAATTAAAAATTTTTCAAATTTTTCCGTAATATTCTAGTTTGAATCATGTTACAAAATTTGTAATTTTCGATCAAGTAGATATATTCACTACAATGGAAGTGATAGCAATTATTTCGAACATTTATTATAGTAATAAATCTTTTTTTTATTATAGATAATAACTTACATTTTTGATAAACTAACTTATGCATTTATATTTTAATATTAAGTTGTAACATATAAGAAAAGTTACCTGTTACAGTATAATGCTACCTGTAAGAAGCATATATATTTTATACGGATTTTTGAAAGAAAAAGATAAATAAAAAAAAACTTTATATCTATGAAAAATTATTTTAAGTCAATTTATGTTATTATTAGAAATTAGAGTCGCGAAGATAAACGTAAGCTTTTACCTAAATAATTGTTATAATATTAAAAATTTTTGGAAACTGAAAAATTTGGTGCAGTTTATAACGCAAACCTTTAAATATTTCTAATCAAGAAATATATATGACTATATATATAACTTACGCCACTTTCATAATCATCGGTACATATGTTTTATTCAGTGATTACATGTAACTAGCATGTTCTTATGCATGACAAATTTTCAATTATAATTTTAATAAAGAAACTTTGTTACGAGCTTTTATACGTCTTAACTAGCGCAAATAAAATTAAATGAATAAATTGGTATATCCGTAGTTAGGAGTAGAAATAGAACAAACGCACGAATAGAAAGAATTAATAAAACATTTATACACGGAATACTATAGTATAAAGCAGATTGTTAAGTAGAATGAAATGACATGCTTGTTAAACCATTAAATTTGGATGCAATACAGTTCGACAGAAAATGCAATTTCAAAAACATAGTCACGACGTAAAATTCAAACAAGTTCCTTGTGGTGATCAATTTGAGTGCTACTTATGAAAACAAAGTATTCCAATATGTGGAATTTGTTCTCTTCGATTATCTTTGTTCCTTTGAATTTGTTAATTATTTCCCTATCAAATAATGTAAAATCATTTCCAATGAATGACTCTCAAAATGTAAAATCAAATGCAACGGTTCAAACTACTATCAGTTATAGACGTGAGTGTTATAAGAAATATAATATAGATATATTTATGTTTATAGCAAATCTACAACTATTTAAAAATATTCAGTTGACAATTTAATACACTAATCAATCAGAAATACTAATTTTTTCTTTTTATCTTATATATTCTGAAATATTATAAAATATATAATTTGATTTTTATTCAAGTCGATACTTGGTCACAATATGATAATCCCGAGGAAGGTACGCATCATGAGGGTGATATTAAAATATCAAATACTCGAAAAACAATTACAGCATTCAAAGAAAAATTGTGGCCAAATGGGATTGTGTACTACACTCTAGATGAACTTATTGGTAAATTACTTTTGCATCAAGCTATTATTATTTCTTTATAATCTATATGAATAAAATAATGTTTTATTTATTAATACAGCATGTTCTATAACTGGGGTAATACAAGTGATTAGGAAATGATTTTACATGAAAAACGTAAATCAAAAATGTAGAATGCATTTTTTTAGAAATTAAATTAAATGTACGCATACTTGATAAATTTTTAAACCTATTTTTCTTGAAAATAAAGCCTCATAAGAACAAATTTTATTCTATATTTTTGACTTAATTTCTCATTTAAAATTATTCCCTGCTCGCTTTTACCACCAATTACAGGACATACTGTGTAAAAATAATTTTAGACATATTTGTGTTTTACTACAGAAAATAATCCGCAAGCATTATCTGTTCTACAAGAAGCAATGATGATAATAATGGAAAGAACGTGTATTAAATTTCAACGAATTTATCCAGATTCAAATGGGCAATATTCAGTTGAAAGTTGGGTTAATATTATAGGAAACAAGAGAGGATGTTATTCTGATATAGGACGTAATCCACTTAGCGGATCAAGTTTTCTAAACTTAAATATAAATACATGTTTTGATATATTAGGCCATGCTCTTCATGAAATGTTGCATACATTAGGTGCTTATCATGAACATATGAGATCAGATCGTGATGAACACATCAATATTTTATGGGAAAACATTAGAGAAGGTAATTATAATTACAATAAATCTAACCCTGATTTAGACATTGTAAATAATATAAAAATTGTGACATTTAAATAATCAGATGAGTATATGTATTATTTATTTTCTGTTCTCAGGAGCTCAATTTAATTTTAAACTGTTAGATATTAATACAGTAAATTATTATGGATTGCCATATGATTATAGTAGTATAATGCATTATTCAATGACAGCGTTTTCCAAAAATAGGTCTGTAGCAACAATAGCACCCAAGGTATGCAAATTTATATTTTTCACTTTACTATTTCTTTCTTTCGTATTGGTATTAATAATTTTCATACAGATAAATAATGTAGAAATTGGTCAAAGATTAAGATTATCTTACTATGATATAAAAAAAATATTAATAACATATAAATGCAGTTTAATGTATTACGATAAGAATGAAAAATTGTATGAGGAGGAAAATAATGGAATTGCATTCGGTTCTTCAAAACTAAATAATAATACAATTGAAGTACTACGTAAAACAACAGATAATACTGTAGGTACTAATAAAAAAGAAGGAATATTTATAAATTCTACGTCAACTAGTGAACACGAATCATTAAATAAAACAGGTAATGTAAATTCGTCTACCAATCATTCACAATCGGAATATCAATTAAATAGTACTGAATATTACTCTATTAATCCAAATTTTGCTATTGTAAATTATCCAATTTATAATATTTATTATTTTGAATAATCTTATTATAAGAGCATCAAAAATCAGAAAGATTTTTCGAATATTGTATAATTGTAATTTTAATGAATTCTAACATAATATCCTACGTATTCTTTTGATGTGGAATTTATTTCGAATTATTATAAATAAATTAAATGGCATATAACATTATTATAAATACTTATCGATTTTTTGTGTAATATGAATCCTTTTTTGTAAAATCACTGTATTTTGAATGTCCTTCTTCATGCGATGGTCTATCATGATTCCGAGATTTATGTTTTTTCTTTATGTGTTTATCTTTTGATTTATGCTTATGTTTTTTATGAGACTTGTAATCTCTAGAACGAGATCTATGCCTATGTTCACTACGTTTATCTTTTTTTGTTTCCTTCGAATCTGATAAACGGTTTTTGTATTCCTGATATTTTATAGATTCAGAATCATTTTTATCTATTATATTGTCTTGTCGTCGATTATATATTGTATTTGTATGATGGTGTCCATTTTTGTCATTTGGAGAGAAGTGAGTAGATACGGATGGTTTTTCATAATGGTTAGTTGCAATTAATTTCTGTTTCTCTGAATATGTATTTGAGTTTCGTTCAGAAGAGTATGCAGTTCTTGTTATGTCGGCATCCTTTTGTTCCAAAATATATTCTGTATATATTTCCATCTGCTGATTAATAACTTCTCTAATAATTTCTATATGGGATTTTTTATTAGTGTGCACACCTCTGTGTTTAGCTCTACGCCTTTTTAGATTACGCTCTAATATAAGCATTTCTAAATAGGACATTTCTTTGTTATCTTTATCTTGTGGTTTCCTAAATAAATGATAGATAAGGTTTTAGTATTAATGATAAAATTAATGTGTTTATATATCTGTTTATTTTTAAAATCTTACGGTCTATTTATATCGGCAATATCATGACCCATATCAGGTTTAACAGTATGAGCAATCACATATTCGTACAGTGCCTTCCTTTCATCGCTAGTAAAATCTGAGATGAGTCTATCTGATGTACGTGGAATTAAACGCTGATCCGAACCTAGTACGTGTCAAGAAATTCCATTTTTCACAACAGAAAAATTAGATATATATATATAATAGTGATCAATGAAGAAGTATAACAATGTTATTTTATAGAAGATAAAAAATAATTAACCAAACTAGTAAAAAGTAACCCTTTGCACTCTGAGTATTTTCTTCGCGCTTGTAGGTTATTGACTTTAGACACTTTTGAGTAAATACAATTATGACTTGACAATTAAACTCCATGGATACTTTGAAACTAAAACTGAAGGATAAAATTAACAAATAAATCTCAATAGTTTTACAAAAAAAGAATAAGAAGTTCAGAGTACGTGGACAAAATTGATCAAAGTAACAATATTATCTGAATTTTGTTATTACGATTATAAAAGCATAATATTAACATCAATGTTTGGAGTTAAAGTAGAATGCAATGCTTCAGTTATTATAACATTAATGCTGGTAATTTAAGCGCAAAGGGTTAAATTATTATGATAGTGGAAAGTATAATCTATTATCGATATATGTACATTAAGCAAAGGATATGAAAAAGGATATATATATTGAGTCCGTGCCAAGTATAACATTCATAATCTTCTGGAAAAGATTAAACAATTTAAGATACAAAAAAATATTAATCTTTATTTACATCATCTAAGACCAACCTGTTTTCATCTCTGGATTTTGTTCTTTTGCTTGTCGCAAGACTTCTTCTTGTAATTCTTCATCTAGAAAACAGAATATTTCAAACCGTTACTATACAATTATACTTAAATTTATACTTAACCGATATTGAATGTAAGAAATGCTGTTATACTAACCAAATTGGAGACTCGAAGAATTATTTGGTGGTAAAGCTGATTCTGGAAATGGGATATCCAATTTTTGATAACCTTCTGCTTTCCATTGACAGGCAGGTAGATGTGTTTCAAGACATGCTTCTGTAATTCGATGTGATGGATCGTAGGGACATGTTAAAAAATTTGTATTCTAGAGAACATAAAATGCATTACTATTTTGTATTACTTTTATCTTGGAAATGAATTAAATTCAACAATATATATAACAATTTTATGTACATCATTAGATATGCTTTCAACTGTCCATCCTAAAGTAGAAGTTATGTTAGCAATTTCTTGGTTAATATTTTTGGTGAAATCACTTAATTTTAGCAATTGTTTTTTTCTCTCGTCCAACCTGAACTCCAACATTATAAATTATATAAAAATGCAAACACAATCGAAAAGTACCATTCAAACAGACTAACCTAACCTACTGTTGAACTTTGTAATAGTTCTATTACAGAGGACACCCTATTCGCTTGCATTCGCAATTCAAATAAAAAATTGCTGATATTTTATAAAACATTCAATTTTTCAATTTAAACCGAGTAAAATGTATTCGTGGTGAACTCTCCCAATGCTTGGAAACTTAAACAAAATAAAAAATAAGATTGCATTAGATAATATAAATAAAATCAAATGTATGAGTGTTGCGTATGTATGTGTACGAGTTACCCACTCTATGCAGACACATATATATGGTGTCATTCTTCTTTCGACAATTGTTAATTAATTGATAGAAGTGTTTATTATTGTCTAAAAACTCGGAATATATGATCTATGCACTGTCCTCTTCGAAATTTATCGTTGAAATGGGCCTTTGTCTTCTATGTAAAAATACTTTTATTAAATATTGTTTATATGAGACTTTCCGAGAGAGAGAGAGAACGTTGCGTATGTGTAGAAAACGAAAAATACATATAATAAATAAAATTCTAGATTATAACGTTCTGATTTAAATATTGTTATCATTTTTATGTAATTATTTTAACAAAGGTATATTTGTTTTATTGTTCCTGCGCAGTGATGACTTCGAGGGGGTGGGATAAAATTTTCATCTACTAAAATATCAGATTAAAATTATTTAATATTCAAAGTATGTTAATAGTTATTTAATATGTATGCAAATGTATATAAATGATAAAAGTGTCTATTGTTGTTCTTTTACCGTCGAAGTCATATATAGTGTGGCGCTGAAAGAACTTATGGGACAATCTAATAATTACTCTAATGCACTCTCTTTATATTTCAGCTTGTATCAACACATATGTACTGGTTTAAAAATTACATTCTTATTAACATACTTTGAATATTAAATTAATTCGATTTGATATTCTTTCAGATGAAAATTTTTACTCCACTTCCTCGACGTCGTCACTGAACAGGGACATTAAAAAACAAATATACTTTAATTTAAAAAATTACATAAAAATTAAAATATTTGAAAATCAGAACGTTATAATCTTAATTTCTATTTAAGGTACACGTATCTCGTTTATTTTAAAAAAATAACTAATATAGAATTAATTTTTGATTTATTTAATATATAAATTATCATATCAAGCTTGAAGAAAGCCAAATGTACGTGTGACGGCAAGCTTGTGTGCGTATATAAACCGTTAGTAACAATTTGAATTTAAAAGTTACGTGGACTTGTAATTGGTCACGTGACGTATGAAATAATTATTAGCCAATCAGCGCTTTTTGCATATTTTCCTTTTTTCTTTTCATGGTGTCGGTGTAGGAGATCGTGCGGATATTTCATCGTCCTGTTAAATTCAGGTAATTAAAAGATATTTTCTAACGTACACCTTCCTATTATATATCAAACGAAAGCAACAAGCAAGATTTTTATACGTGAGTGTTTTCAAAACGAAATATTAAAAAGTTTGAAAGATATCTGTGAAAATAAAATCATCGGTGTATGTCGGTTTCGCGCCAAATCTAACCAATTTTACTTAACAATATTTCTTCTAATTTCCAGCTTTTTTCATAGTATCGATACTTACTACCATCTCTAATGATGCTCTAATTAATTATTTTTCATAATTATGTATTCAAAGATCGTATTTCGTGTTAAATTTGATTTTTATCACATACACACACATACAGTCATAATACATAAGTTAAGTAGTTCGTACACATACACTCATATATTTGATTTTCTTTATATTGTACTAATGTAATTATATTTTTTACTTCTCTTAGTATAGGTTCTGAGCATTGGAGAGTCCAGAACGAATACATACACTCAGTCTAACAATTGGTGTTACTCTTTTTTATCTTGATATTCATCGAGGTAAGCGTTATTCTTTTTTTAACCTATATAGAAATGTATAGAAAAAGAGAGAACGAGAGTGAGAGAGAGAGATAGAGAGAAAAAGAAATAAAACATTCACCTACAGGCAATTATGAATTGGTGTGTATATTTCCAGGAATTTCTCGAGGTGAAGAAAGACAGTCGAAGACAAAACGAAAACAATCGAACATCGAGGATCGAGCATTCGATAATCCCATGAGATATACACAGAGAGATCTCCATTCCCCCTCCGACCTTCAACGAGTTAAGATTTAACGCGAACGTGACGTATATTAAACTATTGATTAATTTTATTTCTAACCTCATCATTATTGAATTAATCGTTTAAAAAGTTTATTATAGCATTGGACAGTATAACAATTGATACACTTGTTAGGTTATTCTTTATTGAGTTTACTACTACAGTTATTGTCTTCTTCAGACTTCTTTAAAGATTTTTATTAACTGATATTAATAATATTTTATATTTTATATGCAATTTTATACAAGTAGGGAGATTAAGGCAATTTATATTGCCTGAATTTATATTGATTCTTTATGATAGAATATTTTTTAAGGTGTGTGAAATGCCTTCAGGAATGATTAACAGGGAATGTTGTACTATAATATAATCTTTAGTATGTTTCAGCTTTACAGATTGTTTTATTTTATTTTATTTTATTCATCGTCATCCTAAGGGTAGGAAA